TTTAGGCTTTAAAGAAAACCTTTAGAATGGGATATGTGAACAGTCTCATTGCATTTCTGAGTTGTTTTTTTTTTAAACCAGGGAGGTAGACAGGGGAGATGACAGTTTTTTTTAATTCTTCTTTGCAACATCTATTCCTACCTTACATAAAGGGTAATGTAAAAAAAGTTGTGCTTGAAATTTGCCTGAATGTTATGTTAATGTAAACGTTTCTTTTTATAATCAAGCAACCTTGATTAATGTGTCAATGTATTTAGTCTCAGAGACTAATTGGGGACACAAATATAARAGTAAATACAAAATTTTAAAATATCTTGTAGGTCTAAACTTATCTTTATTTTCAAGTCTTGCAGTCTCGACTGTATTGGTTAAAATAGAAATCAATAAAGTAATATCTGGATAACGATGCTAGTCTTTTCTTGGTCGAAATGGGAGGGAAATGAGTATCAGGAATGATCATGTGTACTTTTAACATTTTTGACTGGGAGCAGTAAAAAATGCCAACGCGCAACTCAAATACAGAACTCGCCTTACTGATCCAAAATTGCAGTAAAAAGACAAAATTTAAAGTAATATATTCGATGAAACTGTCTGACTTTCTAGCTTGACAGTCGTAAAAAAGTTAGTTTGGTCAAAAGAGTAATTGAGTATTATGCGTGTAATGTGTGTTTTCGTATCTCACTTGAAACTTGGAGCCTCCTTTAGATTACTGAGTGGGGAGGGGAGAGGGTGCGTAAACAATCCCCAAAAAATATAGAGTAAGCACTCACCTACGAAAAATATCTCTTATTTCAGAAAAGAGATATCAAGCAAACACACACACACACACAAATGCATGCAGGGGGTGTTATAAAAAAATGTCACGTAACATAAATTCCTGCAACTCCCACTCGCACTCGATTATCTAATTTCGATTTCTTTGCGTACCGTACTTTTACTGTTTCAAAAGAAAACAATTTAAAAGTGGCGCGCTCACGAATCGTAGGGTGCTTAGTTCACGTACATAATTACAAAATTAGCGTTCACACTACATGCGAGCTACTTTAAATCGATCCGAGACCACCTTTTGAGGTGGTCTAGTTTCGATCGATCTGAGACCGGTCGCAGTTCGTTTTGGCCCGTTCATATTATTTGGCCCGTTTGTCTTTTTGATAATSAACAGTAAATGGTTAGTATGGCTTAAAAATACCGGAATACCAACCTAAATTTAATTACTATGGCTCAATATCTTTTATCAAAAAAGAAAAAAAAGAAAGTGAAGTGAAGAAAAAGATAAATAAAAAGGTAAAAAGATCAATTAAATAAATGCCTTGCAAGGGACAAACGCGCGGGAAAATTTCCCGCCAAATGTGCGGTAACGCACGCGCGTCACGCTCACCGTGAGTAGCCATTTTGAAAACTTGCCTTGGTTTTTCATAAATATTTTTTACGAACTTTCGTAAGTTTTTAAACTTAAAAAGCCTCTTAAAACACTTAAAGTCTAAACYCACGAATTCAAAAAGATTATTTAACGTCCGTTTATTGCTTTTTTTGGTATTTAGAATAGTTTTGATAGGTTAGAGTCTTGAAAAGCGGAATTCAAAACGTTCAATCAACTTTTTCATGAAAATTGAGTGAACGAAAGACTTCAAGGTTGTAAGACTTAAAAATCAAAAAAAAGTTGAAAAGATTACGCTACTAAAAGAATGAAAGAAGAAAAAGCCATCACTGGTATTTACTTCGGAGTCTTACCAGACTTTAATGAACTTATGGGCTACTTGATAGAAAATGAAGACGAAGGACAAAATATCATTCAACCTCTTGGTTGTAGGTAAGAGTTCGAAACACGACTTCTACGTTAATAAAGATTCAAGAATTGAAGGATAATTATAATATCTAATTCTAAATTCAAAGTATTTAAAAGGCAAATCATAACACTCATAACTTAATAGAGAGTTTTGGAAAATAATTTGTCGAACTAAACAGAAAATTGTAATGATCGAGTTTTGGTTTTGATTTGTTTTCATTTTTCAGCGTTGCTTTAGCTAAACACATCTTTACTCTAAGTTTAAAATATTCTTAAAATTATTGTACTCAAATAATCCTTCTAGTATTTCTTTATAGCTTAATTTTCTAGACTGTTATTTACACAGTTATTTCCTTGTGCATTTTTCTTAGGGAACTGCTGTTCACTGATCCAAGGTTACTTCTTTCGCCATGTCTGGAATGTGGTCATCAAGCTTTCATTATTCTCAAGGTCTTTTTATATCTATTTTAGCTTTGTACTTGATAATGCATGGAGATGTCGAACTGTACTATTTCAGTTATCACTCATTTTCGTTCAATGTTTTCCGCAATCTTTGCTCAAAAGATAAAATTGATTTCTACACTTGGAACAAAATTATGAAAATGTTAGCAGCAAGAACAATGGCAACAACAACAACGACGACACAACTAAACATGCTCACATAAAAGTTTTTTATATAACCAAGTAAATCTCATGAACACTCTTCATAGTCATAAGCTTGCAAAGCTCCTTCTTGTAAAGTTTCTAACAGAACCAGAAGAACCAGAACGACAGCTGGGGAAAAAGAGGGGGGGG